ATTACATTGGCATTTTCCCATGCCAACTGTTTTAATAGAATAGATGTCCCCTCACTAGGTGGGAGCATTCTAGTAATTGACTCCTCCAGAGGTGAGACAAACTCCTGATAAGGTTCTTTATTTCCCTGCCTGATTCCTGACAAGGTGGTCCTCTTAGCTCCAGGAGGAGGGATAGTCCTCCAGGACAAAACTGCATTAGTAGTTACATTTTTTAAGACTGTCTTAGGTAGCTTCACTTGTTTATGGACAAAGGGGCCTGTCCCCAACATCATGTCCAAGGTAACTTTAGGGCCTCCTTTATTAGCCATTTTTTTTTTTTTTGCACTGTCTCCTTACATCTGTCCTCATAGTCAGTTCTCCAGAGGACATAATCTCCTGGTGTAAGAGTAGCCTTAGCAGTCTGATGGCAGTCATGAGGAATGAGCCAATGACTGGCCACCATTTTCACCATTTGTATGGTATATAGTGTTGATGGTCCCATTTGTCTTACTGCGAGTTGGCAGCTCTTTAAGAGGTCTTAAGGGGTAAAGGTTCCTATTGGTGGTCCTCCTCATCATTATTTCCCGCTTATACTACTGGGAAAGTGAAGAAGGTATCCCCCTGTTTTCAGGCTTCTGCCATAGCCCCCTGGAATCCAATAGGAGGAAGTAAAGTCCTTCTCTTTAAAGCAGAAGAACTGTTGTTCCTCTTTTCACTTTTGTCCTTAAAATTTTTCTTTAGCAAAAAAGAAAAATCATGATGATGATCTCGTTCCTCATCTAAATCATACTTAGCTAATTTCTTTCCTTCTCTTTCAAGAGTGGCTTGTTAGTACCATAAGAAGTTTTCCTTTGACTCTACACACTTTCATTTTCAACCGAGGCGGCTTCCTTAGTGAGTAATAGTAAATCAGACTGTTCTCTATTTCCCTCATCTGTAGTCAAATCGGGTAAGCTTGTTTTGGAATAGGCTCTCCCTCATGAGCAGCAGTATACTGCCTCATCTCTTTCCCTACTCTTTTCCAATCTTCTAGAGTGAGACTACCGTACTCCGGGAACCAAGGCGAGACCTTCATCAGAAAGGAATAAAATTCCCTTGCAGTGGAATCTGATACCTTCAGACCTCGTACCCCTAACATGTGCTTTAAAATCGAGACAAACATTTTCTGTCCTTTAGAGCCCAATCCTCCCATGATTACAATTTTCAAGGTTACTCACTCTTAACCAGACTTAACTTTGCCAGCGGGACTGCAGCTCCCTTGGTGAGAGCCTATTCACTCCTTAAAAGAGAAAAAAGGAAAGAAGGAAAGTTACCTGTAGGAGGGTCCCTGTTCGGGCACCACCTGCTGCAGACTGTTCAGCGGACTACTGGTTTGCGGGGAGACCTAACTCGGATACTCAGGTCAGGAGTGAATTCGGCACGACAGACAGAGTCAAACACAAGAGAGGTTTGCTACCGCTGCGAATTTTTACCTCAGAGTTTGTTCCTTAAAATGATTATATAATCATTTTAAGGAACAAACTCTTTGGCAGGAGTCCAAAAGATTACAATCTTGTTCAGAAATCATTAGTGCTGAGACAATAGGAACATGAGAACATTAGACATAGACTACACAGGAAGAGAAAATTCTATTTTATGCCTGTCTGTGGTCAGTTTCGATATTTACGATGCAGCCCTGCGTGTCTACCACAAGTCCTGTCTTATAAGTTTTAGTATTTCTTCTTTGGTTCTGGGGTGGCCGCAAATATATTTAAGAAGATCATGACAAGGAATTTCCCGATTATTTCCAAATATCAAAAACGTATATACTTGCCACCTCAATTATCATTGCTGTTCTTCAGAGAAGGCACACCATGGTGCTTGAGCTCTCCTGATTCTTTCCCAGATAGATAACGTATTGAACTCAACTTGCTTTCCATTCACCATCACCCATCTAACTAGGTCCTTTATCATAAACACCTATCCAAAGGAGTGGAGCATCTGTGGGACTGTAAATGTATGGGTCTCTATATCTGGGAAACTGCCACCAGGAACCTTTAATCCATATTTCTAGGGAATTGTTTATTTGCCTGACTGTTAATCCCCTTTTCTGTAAATCCTCTATTTCTAATTGCACTTTGTCTTTACTTTTAGTTTCTCTCTTATTTCTAAATTTTCCCTCTATTCCTAACTCAAGTTTTTGCACAACATCTATAATTTTCCCAAATGATTCATTAGAACTTTGAAGCAATTATAACAGCAACTGCTGCAGGTTATGATTCCAAAGACTAATAAAAGAACACAGATCCATGCACTCACAAACCCAACACCGGAGCCAAACAGGAAGCTGATTAAATGCCTTCTTCTGGGATCATGCCAGGGACTCCCAGGAGGCCTAACCATGAGTGGTGCGAACCTCGGGACAGGCTCTTTATGCTCCATACTGCACCATCTCCACTGGAGCGGGTGTGGCACCCCTCCCCACCACTTTTAGCTCTTCAGACATTCCTCTGTCCATAGGACATGAATCCCTCTCCCTCTCCCCCCCCCACGTGTGTGTGTGTGTGTGTGTGTGTGTGTGTGTGTGTGTGTGCGTGTGTGTGTGTGTGTGTCTCATACCACGCCATACATTTGCCATTTGCTCACCATAAAAGTGCTGATTGCTTGGCCTGTGTTTTCTCATTGGAGCCCCGAGCAGACAGCTCCAGGCCTTGCCCACTCAGCACAACATCAACAGTACAATTCTTTTGTTGGATTTTGTTGTTCTTTGAGACAAAGTCTCACATAACCCAGGTTGGCTACAAGCTTCTGAGAAGCTAAGAATGACCTCAGAGTCCTTATTTTATCGAATGTAACTCTTAACAACAGTTGAAAGGTTCACACTCCTGTCAGAACAGACTCCATGATATTTTCTATGAAATGCTCTGATCACCAACTTTATTAGATTTAAAATGATAAAACACCATTTTTCCCAAACAGCCCCAAATGAAGTGCTGCAAAAGACAGTTTAGAACACATCATTTACAATGCTAAGACCACTTTCTGAACCTTAGCATTAGAAGCAAAATGATGTCTCACCACCACAATACAGAAAATTATATGGAAATGGGTATTTATACATATATGAAGGAGCAACTTTGCTTTGAAGAGAGTTCAGATCATTGACAGCCAGCTGCCTGAGAGAAATCTTTAAAATCATTGTGTAACTTTCCTAGTTCTAAGCAACAGCACCTAGTGGAAAATGTCAGGTCTCCTGATAGTTTGGGTGCAGCAGCCATAACTTTGTAAGGAACGGAGACATATGAATTTGACAGCTAAGGATGCAAATTGCAAACACTTTTGTCAAGCTGATAATGTATCGTGCCTTGCAAACCAAGGCATCTCACAAGCCAAGAAATATTCCAACAAACCTGACTTATTTAATTTTATTATGGGCACTCTGAACCTCATTCTCCTGATGCCTTCATGAGTTTTGCTTGTTTGTTTTAGAGAATGAAATAACCAAAGCATGAGCCTTAGGAGGGTATTGGTGATAGAAATAAAGGCAACAAAATTTTCCTTTCTGTGAAGAAATAAAATGGATTTTTTTGTTTTGTTTTTCTACATGTGAGTAAATTATCAATTTGAGGTAAACACCATCATAGAGCCTTCATCCATAGCTGATGGAAGCAGAAGCAGAGATCCACAGTCCAGAACTGAGCCAAGCTCCTGGAATTCAGTTGTAGAGAGTGAGGAGTGAAAAAAGGGTCAAGACCATGCTGGGGAAACTCACAGAAGCAGCTGACCTGAGCAAGTGGTAGCTCATGGACCCCAGTCTGATAGCTGGGAAATCAGCATAGGACAGAACCAGGTCCCCTGAACATGGTTATCAGTGGTGGGGGGGGGGCAGTCTATGAGCTCTCTGGCAGTGGAACCAATGTTTATTCCTACTGCACAAATGGGGCTTTGGGAGCCCATTCCCTATGGAAAAATACTCTCTCAGCCTAATACACAGGGGAGGGCCTAGGTCCTGCCCTAAATCATGTGACAGATTTTGATGATAACTCTATGGGAGGCCTCACCCTCTTTGAGGAGTGGATGGGTGGATGGGATGGGGGTTGGCAGGGGAAATGGGAGAATGGAAGGGAAAGAGAATTGGGATTGTTATGTAAAGTCAGATTGTTTTTAATTTAAATAAAAATTTTAAAAATTCTCCATTTGACCGAAATAATACCGGACAACTTCTCCCCTTGGTGACCAAAATCTACATTCAAAATGTCAAATTCTTGTACACCTATCCCAGGACAAAAAGCTAACTAAGTTGTCCTTCCCTCTCAATTTTTCATGAAAAAGTTATATATTGATTACATAATTACTTGTATATAAAATGTTAATCACTATTACTCTTACATAATATCTACATGGTAGGGATGGTGATGTAACTGTTGTTCATATAGTTGTGTATGTGTGTGTGTGTGTGTGTGTGTGTGTGTGTGGTTAAAATCATAGAAAAATAAGATTTCCCAACAAATGTTAGATCACCTTTGTTTTAGTTTATCTCCAAACTTTGATGGCTACATATAATCTTCTTTTATACCATTCCCTTATATGAATTTATAAGTAGCACACTTACTTCCTGGGATGGAAAACATAGAAAAATATAGAAGGTAAGAGGACAAGAAGGTGTTTGTGAGCTCTGAATATACCATAGGGAATTGTATGAGTACCTTGAGACTTCTGACAGTTGAAAATGTTTTTCACTTGGGGACACCCAGGAAAACCACACTCTAAAAGTCTCCCAAGCTATCTTCAAAACTGCATCGTGTATCTCATGTATAATCCAATTTACTTGGTTGAAAGATATGGATATCTTTGCTGAATTTTCAATGACAAAATAACACATCCCTTCACAAATAAGTGATTTTTGAAATAAATCACGTTTGATATTGCGACATCCAACTATTTAATCTCACTTCATTGTACTAATGCCAACCATATGAATGTCTGAATTCTTTCATATGTATAACCTGCATGCTCCTGTTTTGTTTAGCCTCTGTAGTAAGTTAGAGACCCGTTTTTGAAGCAATCCAGCGCCGATAATAAGTCACTTGTGTGTAGACTCCAGGTTTGTTCCTTTGGCCACAATTATCTCCCCAGCTCACAATTCCAAGGAGATACCAGGTGTCTTTATTGTCTCTGACAACTAATGGTCCCCCAGAATCACCCTGAAAATAAACAAGAGAAAAACAATTAGCTGAAGAGTTCATCATTTGCAAAGGTTTGATAAACCACCTATTTTTTTATTAGTGTAGTATAGATTAGTAATACTGAATGAATACATAAAACAGAGTTGAAAATTAAGGTAAGGCTACACATTTTCTACTAAATTTTGATCTTGAGTAAGTAACAGATTAAAGAGAAAAACAATAGATTGCGTATCTCTTCATCTATTCTGTGTTCTAGGGATGGCATTTCATGGCTTAAGCATTTTTTATTGTTCTAACTCCTTATCAAGTACTCAAAACCCTGTTTCCCAAACCTAAATGCTGCCCCTCATTAGACTGCTCATGTTGCTTTTCTATAGTGGTAGTGAATATTTAACTCTTTACCCACTTTGCAACTTTTCCCCACCAGATCTTAATGAGTTTTACATTCTATTAATTAACAGTGACATGGGCTTTGTGGGTATTACTGATAAACCAGTCAAATTCTCCAGAAAGGTGTTGCCTGAACACACACACTGATTTCTTTCTGTTTGAATTGAAAGCAGATTATTTTTATACAAGAAACACATTCTGATTATGGTTTCCCCTCCTTCATCTCCTCCAAGATCCTCCCCTCCCAGCTACCCTTTCAACTCCAGGAAATTCTTTCTATCTTAAGAAAACAAAGAAGCCATCCAGCAACTGGATGGCATTCCCCTACATATGGAATTGGGGTGGGGGGATGGGAGGGGAGGGTGGTTAGAGTGCATGTGAGAGGGCAGAGAGGGTAAAAGGGAGGGAAGAATGGAGGGAGGGAAGGAGGGAGGGAGGGAAAAAGGGAGAGGGAACTAGGATCGACATGTAAAATAATAAATTAAATTTAAAAAAAAAATGCTTTGACTCCAAAATTTAAGTTGAAGGACAAGTTACTGGGGAAAAGGATTTCTATTTTTGTTTCCACAGAAAATGAAAAGATGTGGATTCCTTCCAGACTAATGTGGTTTGATCACGCCAGACCGCCTGAAACAGAGTACAAGGTGATCCTACATTCAAAACAGCTGGACAAAGCAACCTTACAGACTACAGCCAGGATTTCTGAATCTTCTTCGAATCCCCCATGACAGCGCGCGCCTTACCAGCAGGAAGTAGTTTGGAAAGAACAATGCCCAAATTCCCAAATATTGTGTATAAATGTTTGTTTTCATTTAAATGGACTTTGTTATATAAAATAAAATAAATTAATAAAAAAAGAAAATAAAGAAGCAAATAGAACAAAATAGCAACAACTGTAAAACAACATGAACAAATAGTAAAACAAAGATTAAACACTACAAACACATGAACATACAAACCCACACAAACAAAACCCATAAAAACAAAATACACATAATGCACAAGGAAAAACCACAATATGCAAGCAAAAGACATGGAAAAATGCCAAAACAAAAGCTCTCTCAAATTATGATTGAGTTCATTTTGTGCTGGCCATCTATTGCCTGGTGTGAGACCGACCCTTAAGTGTGGTTTGTACCCAGTGAGGCTCCACCAGAGAAAACTAATTTTTCCTTTGCAAATGTTGGCAAATGGAGATGGCTTTTTCCCAACCAGTGTCTTCTGCAGTGGTTGAAATCGCTGAAGAAGAGCTCTCCCACAGTGCCTGATGCGGGTTAATAGTCCCAATCAATTTTTATCAAACTCTTGACTGAGCTACAACTGAAAACAAAATTGAAAATTTGCATGATTTTGTAAAAACTTTTGGTTTTTCTTTCTAGGTTTCTCATCAGCAATTCTGATACTCTCTTGTTTGTACTTGGACCTTGCCTACCTAGATGGAATTCTCATTCTCACTCTTACACTGCTGGATTCTTGCACAGTTGCCCTTTCCATTCTCTCTCTCTCTCTCTCTCTCTCTCTCTCTCTCTCTCTCTCTCTCTCTCTTTCTCTCTCTCTCCTCTCCCTCCCTGCTCTGTCTCTTCTTCCCTCCCTCCTCTCTCCCTACCTCTCTTTCTCCTTTCCCCTCCCTCCTTCTCCCTTTTTCTACCCTCTACCTACATTAGGGAGATTTCTTGAATTCTAGATAAACATTTGGTGATGTTAGGAATCCAGGTTGTTGTTGGTTCTTTTAATTCAGTTGTATCAGTTGTGCTAAAGCTCTCACCCTGACTACAGTTACCATCACTGAACTGCTTTCCCAGTGACTTTTTCTATGAGTAGGGATTTTTCTTAGATTTCTTTGCCTCACATCCCAGTGAATCCTCTGGACCACTAATCTGTCCAGATAACCTATATTATCATCCCCTATCTGTTCCGCACCTTCTGAAGTGAGTGTCTACTCAACTTCTGGCTGTCTCCTTCCACTCTTGACAACTGAGATCAGCTGTGTGTTATGACCCAACCTATGCATTAGAAAACTCTATGTTCTTTCCAACAGAGGTTGCTCATTCTGTAATTTGTGGGCCTACGGGCAGGGCTGTTAGGCACCCCATACCACTAACAGTTTCATTGTTTCAGTGTGCAGATTCACCCCTTGAAATTTTCAAGGATCTCATGTCAAAAACCAAACCAACCCAAACAAACAAAAACCAGTTGCATACAGAAAGGAACATACTCAGACTTTCACACCAGAAAATGTATATTCCACATGAACAACTGTAGGATATTGACAGAATGACCTATTCATACTCTGCACCATTAAATAGACCTCCCACCTGTTATACCACTTATGCTTTGTCAGGGGTTACCAATTATGAATTATAGTAGTTGGTTATAGATACAAATATAAACATCCTTATAGATTTAACTATTCTCTCTCTTCTAATTCTGTGATTGTATAAATGAAGCATCATCTTATGTTTTCTAGAAGGGAGAACTGCTCTATTCCATTATATTCTTAGAGCATCACTGTTCACTGCGCAAGGTTGCTGCCTTTAACATTTGAGCTGTTGTACAAGATGTTACTATCCTCTTATCCTGTGAATGTAATTCTTTGCTTGCTTAGAGTTGTTTAATAATAAAACATCTAAAAATACTCATATGCTATGATGTTTACATTTGGGGATGCCAGAATGTCTGTGTCCTATGCTAGCATAAAGAACACAGAGTGTTTCCTGAGCTTAGTGACTTTGGATTATTTCCTCTCTTCAACCTACCCTGCAGGCATCATAAATTCCTTCCAGATACCCAGCACAGAACATCCCACGCTTTATGTCATTGCCATACACCTGTGGTTGCTTGCAGATGTCGTTGCTTATAATCTGTACTCTGGCTTCTCGGAGCTCATTTTGAGATTCCCCTTAAGAAAAAACAAAGCAGTCTCAGAATTATCAATAAGTATTCATAGATGGACTGAAGTGAGTGAGTTTTTCTAGAATCTTCTTCATTCTAAAGTTGTTTATACAGACTATGGTTAGTGTGAACAGTCCTAGAGGGAAAAAAAGTTCTAATTAAAATCCTTTACATGCCTTTAACTTCCATATGTGTCTTTGCATGTTTGAGACTAGTTTGGTCTACTCAGACAGTTTTAGGATAGACAGTGCTACACAGTGAAACCCTGGCTCAAAACAAAAATAAACAGGAAGTCTGGTGCATTTAACAATGGCTGTTGTATTACCCATTTTAATAAATACCTCTACAATCAGGATGACCATTTGTTTTCCTTTTTAGAAAATACTTGTGTTTTTACTTTCAAAATAACATAATTATTTTTCAGTTTTATGGAAGTTTTGCATTGTGTGTTTGTGTACCATATCCATGCAGTTCCTGAGAAGGTCAGAAGAGTTGGATCCCCTGGAACTGGAGTTACATATCATTGTCAACCATCATGAGAGTTCTGGTAACTGAACCTGGGTCCTTTGGAAGAGCTGTCAGGTCAGTTAACTTCTTGAGCCCTTCGAACCAGTCTTTATTATTTTTTTAAAAATGCATCCTAATTTCAGAAAATGAACTTTGTGTCTATGGATTCCAGATTGTTTCCACAAACAATGCATACTTAATTTGACATTATTTTTTAGTGTGATAAACATGGTATTGTTTCTCGGCTTGATAAAACACTGCTTAAACTATACATGTTTATCTAGTCCTGTGCATTTGCAAAACACTTTCATGAATATAAATTCATCACATGACAATGTAACGTCATATAAATACACTTGTCTTAGATAAATTTAAGCATCCAGATCCTAAGCTAGGTCCTTATGTCAGGCAGAAGTAGAGGAACTGGCTTTCTCAGTCATAGCTAGAAGAATAATCATGGCTTTCTGGTTGGCAGAGTCCAGGGTGGCCCCCAAGATTCTGTGTTATTTCTCTTTCCCAAAGTATGGGTTGGACTATGTGAATGTGATGGAAATAATTTTCATGATTCGGTTTAAGATATATGGCAAAGTGCTAGGGAATTTTTTATATAGATAATATAATAAATAATAAATGATATTGTCAGATTGACTTTAGAATAATCAAAAGGGTGAATATCTGAGGCAAACCTGGGCAAATCAGGAAAGGTTTAGCATTTCCTCATGCTTGGACACACTTTCTTGATGATGTTGTGGAGCCAGGCTCTGCAGCTACAAGAAACAGAATTCTACCAACAACCAGACAGCTGGGAAGAGAACCTATGCCACAAATAAGTTCATATCCAGACTGCAGTTTTAAGAGACTCAGAGAAGAAGACCCAGTAAAACAGGCTGAACTTCTGATCCAGAAGACAAAAAATTAATAATATGTGTATATATCTATATATGTATTGTGACTCTATTATCCATTTTTTAAATGACATTCAATTTTGGGAATAGCTAGTGAATATGACAACCAATAGTTTCCAGGTGGTAGGTAAATTGGTTACTTTAATAGAAACTACTTGGTAAAATGTAATAAAATTATAAAATGCATAGCTCCAAAATTTATCCCTCCAAGTCCCTAATAATATCTTAACTACTTTTAGGAACACCTACTGACATTTTTAAAAAGAGTATTAATTTATATCAATGACTTTCACTTGTATTTGCCCATTTTCTCTACTTTTTATCTTTATTATTTCTTTCCTTCTGCTTGTTTAAGATTTATTTTTCTCATCTTTATTAGTTTCTTGAAGTTGGCACTTAGTTTATAGAGTTCTGTTTAGTTTAAAGATGTCTGAGATCTTTTTTTCTATTGTGAGCACAGATATAGTCTGTACAGTTTCAGTTTCAATTCAGTTCCAGATACTTTTAAGAGATTTTTCCTGACTTTCATTTATCTATGAGTTTATTCCTTAATTTCTAAACATGTAGACACTTTCCTGTAATCTTTTGTCTATTGTTTTCCAGTGTGAGTTCATATGGTCATAGAACATACAGTGTATGGCTCACTTATTTCATATTTACTAATGCTTACTTTATATAAATGGATCTGAACTTTCTTGGAGAGTAAGTCATGAGTTCTTGTGGTTAATGTGTGGCCTACTGTTTTAAGAAATATTGTTCTATAAATGTCTAATCTTATTGCTGTTCACAATGTATTCTGTCCAATATGGATCTGTTCCAACCTCGAACTTTTGCCAGCAAAGGATTTTTCTTATACCAAGGAGAATTCATGATGTGCCTTTCATAATTATATTGCAGAGAGAGCCCATCAGAGACAGTGTAGCCGTAGTGTGATATAGCCCTTGATACTCTGCTGGAAGTAAGAAACAATGGGTAAAATCTTATATGCCCATGGAGAAAGCAATTCATGTTCAGTGTGTCTAAGATGGAACTGAGTGGAGTGAATGTCTGACGTAAGTCTAGAGTCTGCAAAGCCTGTCTCTGGTGATGTTTGTGTAAATGTTTTCCCAGTTCCTTGTTGAAACCTGTGATTAGAAGCTTATTCCTTGACATTTGTTGTGTCTACAATTATAGCCTCCTTCGAGTGGATTTTTCCATTTTCAAGAGCCCATTTTGCATTTTCTCAAGCTCATATTTAATCCTTCTAGCAATTGTTATATATGTATCCAGAACACATTCTAGACTCCAGAGTGAATGAAAACAATAGACAACAGTCACCATAAGTTAATAATAAAGTTGGATCAGCTTAGAGAGAGTAAGCATGTTTTGGCGATTTATCTCCATGCTGGCTTTGCTCTTAACCACCATTAAATTAACTTCTTTAATACTAAAGCAAAATTAACCACACAGTTATAAAAATGCAGAACCGCCTGTCGTCTACTTCTGCCGCTAGGTGGAGCTAGAGCTCCCGCTGGTGAAGCTAGGGGACAACAGGACTGGGAGGTACAAAGATTTAGTCCAGGGTTTAGCAACTTCATCACAACTCTGCATTCTACCTACATTTAAGCTAGATTTCTCACAGAACACTCCTGAATTTCAAGGGCCAAATTTGCTTTGTTTCTATTTTGTGTTGAATTTCTGTCACTTGTAAAACAAGAGCTCTAACTTTCCAAAGAAGCTCTGGGGAAAGGACTGCCCACACAACACAGGTAATGAAATTATTCTGCTAAAGGGCCCAGACGTCTCCTGGGTTTTCAGAGGTACGCACCACTGTAGTAGAGTGCTCCAAATCCCGTGATGTAGACAGTCGAATTTGGCGGGAAGGATGCAGAGGGCTCTGGTAAACAAATTCGGCGTACGTCGTCTGAAAAGGTGACTCTCGGAGAAAACTGCACAAGGGCAATGTCATGGTCTCTGGCTGGGGGGCGGTACCTCTCATGCATAATAATTTTTCGGACGTCCCTTTTCATTAAGGGAGGGTTTATTGTTGTTCCAAAACTAAGAGTCCATTGGCGTGGGTTTGCATTACTGGAAAAGATTAGCAGCATACATGAGCTGTACAGTTTCCATTTCCTACTCGTTTAGTTATCTATGTGCATTTAGGTTAATTCAAGAGACAAAACCCACTGATAATAGTTTCATTTCATTTAAATGTCTGCTGCCCATGATTTAAGTATAAAATCTATACAAATAGCATATTGGAGGTGAATTTAATATTTAATTACTGAGTTTTAGAAGCTATGAGATGATCAAGAAGACACGTTTCCATCTTGGATTCAGTTTAAGACAACAGAGGAAGATCTTCCTAGTCCCAAGTGCAGAGAGAGAGAGAGAGAGAGAGAGAGAGAGAGAGAGAGAGAGAGAGAGAGAGAGGAGAATAAGAAAGGGAGCCATTATAGGTTTGAAGAGAAAACTGAATCTAGAGAAATATTCAGAGACCTACAAGACTGACCCCAGCTAACAATTTGAGCAACAGTGGAAAGGCTACCATAAATGCCCTTCCCTGATAATGAGATTGATGACTAACTTATCCATCATTAGAGAGCCCTTATCTAGTAGCTGATGGAAAAAGAAGCAGACACCCACAACTAAACACTGAGCTGAACTGGAATCCAGATGTAGAGAGGGAGGACAAGACCAGGCTACAGAAACCCACAGAGACAGCTGACCTGAACAAGGAGGAGCTAATGAGACCCTAGACTGATTGCTGGGAATCCAGCATTGGATTGATTCAGAACCCCTGAACATGGGTTAGAAGGCCTCAGCAGTCTAAGGGGCCTCTCACAGTGGAACCAGGATATATCCCTGGTGCAAGAAAGGACTTTGGGAGCAGATTCCTCCTGGAGGGATACTCCCTTGACCTAGAGGCAGGAGGGAATCTCTAGTCCCTATTCCAAATGACTTAACAGGTTTAGATGACCCCTCCTGGAAGGTATCATCCTACATGTGGAGTGTGTGGGGGGGGAGGAATGGGATGGGAGGGTGGTTGGGGGGCATGGGAGGGTGGAAGAGAGGGAGGAAGAGAGAACTGGGAACGATATGTAAAATAAGAAAAATAAATAAAAATGATGAGAGAAAAATAAAAATAATTAAAAAGCCACTTAATGATGGGAAATACAAAAAAATCAAAAAACTAAAAGAAAGAAATAAAAATAGAAGAAAAATAAAAAAGGACTGTGAAATATAAAAAGTTGGTATGTAATTTTGAAGAAAAACTAAAGTTTACAAGAATTAGACATAAAACATTTTTTAGTTGGTAATTTTACTCCCTCGGTTGAATCTATCTATATTTTCACATTGTAGATTGTTTCAAAGCCTTAAACCCAAGGAAATTTAGATCCTCCTAATTTAAGAACATCATTGCATTTATTTAATAGTTTGAGAACAACCTTGTATTCCCTTTAAACAAATATTTATGTGAAAGCTCAAAAAAAAAAAAAAAAAAAAAAGACAACAGAGGAAGAAAGGTGGACGATGATGCTGGAGAGGTAGGTGGGTACCAGAGTGTCTTATATGGAGAGAGAAAATGTGTAGGCTTTATTTAAGGGATACTGGAATTCTTTTGAAATCTTAAAACTGGGAGTTATGTAGCCTCATTTACATATGTGTATCTTTTGATGCTAGAGGATCCCTTTCAGACACCAGTCTTCCATGTATTGAATTCTGTGTTAACTCAGTATCGGCTCAAAAAATAATACAGAACATGTTACTTTGGGTCTTTGTTTGTTTTTGGTCTTTTGTCTGTTTTGTTTTTTGCTTGTTTGTTCTTTTTATAAATCTGTGATTGTGAGCATGTCTGTATTCACCTCTCAGTGAAAGGGCTCCCAGCATCAGGGCTTATATGGAGAGAGGGTAGTAAGAATTCAATGAAGAAGTGTCAGTACCCAATCAAGTTCCTGTAGCACCACAGAGCTCAATAATTGTGCTATTTGTTGATACAAATCCACTGTCAACTCATCTTTGCCTCCACCTGATCCCTCCTGCAGATGGAGGCATGCTGTCTACTTTAGAATCCCTTTGTTCATCTTGGCCTCCCTTTCATCTCTGAGCAGCTTTGCCTGCAGACAAGTTCTTTCTTGACTCCCCAAGTCTTTTCCAAAAGCATGACAGGACTTCAGATCAATTAATACAACTCTACTATCTGTATTATAGATTTCTCAGAGTAAGATTTCTACACGTAGGACAATGTTTCTCAAATATTAATGTGTACACATCATCGGGGCTCTTACTAAATCTCAACCTCTGAGGCTGTAGCTCTGGGATAGAGTTTAACTATTTTTGTTTCTAACAACCCCCTAGTAATGTGGGTGCTACGGCTTGGTGAACTGCACTTTGGGTGGCAAACAGTTTGCTGCCTGCCCTCTTGTCATCTGAGACTCTCTAGGAATACTCCATTTTGTCCAGTTCACTTTAACCATGTCACCCAGTTCAGAAATTGCTCTTCCAGCTTACATCTCACATGGCATATGATATGGCTCTGGTTTTTAAAGATGCAACGTGAATCATAATCAAACTTCAGTGACCGGCGTCAGTGCTGTAAATTTGAACTGAGTTCTGCAGCAACAGTCACTCACTCCCTGCCTCCTCGAAGACTTCAGCTTCAGTTTGTTAACAACATCATGAGACTGACCAAGGGCTTTACGGCAAGGAGCACCAATGTTAAGTGGAGAGTACTGCTTAACAAAGAACTGGTTTATTAGTAAATGTGCTGTGTAGGCTGAGTTCTGCTTTGTTGTAATTTCTTCAGTTAAAAATCTGAAGACTTTATTAATGGACACTAGGACAATGCTCACTCAGCACTACTTTTTTCACACCAAACTTTCAGAATAAGTTTGCAAGTAGAACATTATTTTAGAAGAGGATCAGAAATGTTTTCTTATTTTACTTCAGCTATATTAGGGACCTTGATTGGTACTCAGAATATGGAAATATTCAGGGAGTTTAGCAAAAACAGGGACTGACTTAAGTTTAATAACTTACGTTCTGAAACAGTGTGCTGCAGTAACCACCCACATGTTGCTAATCAAAGTGCCCCCACATTGATGGATGTTGCTGCGCTGAAGAGAAACTTGCCAAGGCCAGGCACCCCTAGCTGCAAGATTTCCAGATACTATTCTGTTGGCAATTAATGGGATAGCTCGTTTGCCACAATCTGAAAAAGATAAAACCATTTTAAAGAAATGTCTGTCTAGTTTTTGATGCAGAGGATTCTGCAGAATATTGCAGTGCAGATATCTCATTTACTTTTAAAACAGGACCTCTAAGCAGTTTTTGTTTCTTCCTTTTACACTGATGCATTGCTTAGTTCAACCATTGTATATGTAACTATATGTTGTTTACTGAATTATAAAGAATTAACAGCATCAGCTGCATGGACTCACAATCACCATTTATCCAGTTAGTCCAGGAGCCCCACCAAGGCTATTGTTTTGCAGTTGTACACAATCCAACAGTGTTGTGTTGTTACCATGGAATCCTCAGCAGAAGGACAACTCCCTTTAGCCAGATAAGCAGTGGCCTGTTTGTTGAAAACACCTTTGATGTGTGCCTTTCTAGGGTGATTACATTGTAAGGTATGTAAGGATGAATGCATCACAGCTAGGCATTCATTCTTTAGCATGGAGGTTTCCATGTTTCCATATAAACATTACATCTGCCACTGACAAGAATAAACATGCACTCCATCACATCAGAGGCTGTTTGGATACTTGGGGTGGCTGTGAGTGAAAAAATGTATTGAGATCATAGTGTAAAAAAAAAAAAGTGTAGTAGTTGGGTTTTGTTCTAACTAAATATATGAAAAGAAAATTCATTTTTCTTGTGTGGATTATCCTTCAAACACGGTTGTTTCAGAACTCTTCAACATGCTATCATTGCTTTCACTTGAACAATGGTTTTCCTCATATGAACGTCTAGAAAAAATCCCATATAATCTCCTCACTTCATTCAGTCTTGTCCTTCTGCATTCTGTCTCATGCACTGGACATTCAATGACCTCTCCAAAATGTGTGAACTTTTTGTTGCCCTCAAAATAAAGTAAATATCATTCCAGGTGATTCTGGTCACTGATTTATTAATCACCTCTTTCCCACACACTCTTTCCCACACAACTCTATGTTACAGCCAAGAAGACAGTTTTTCTTTTGTAGGAAGTGATGATGCTTTCACCTTCCTGGTCTTCTTGTACAGAACACTTACTACCACCCTCTTGATTCATGGGTTCTCTTCTCTGCAACTTCAGGGATTATTTTCAGGTCCAACAAGACCATATGAGCTAACTCTGATAGGCTCTTAAAGCATTGTACATTTTCTTTAATCATTTGTCACACTTTACTAATAATTTCTAGTTAATTTCTGTGCTCTTTTACTTTGGAAATATGTTTTGAAGACGATTGTGTATTATTCACAGCAGAATGACCTATTCCTGGCACACTTTTTAACACTGTATTAACAGATGTTCAAAGGTCAATAAATAATGATAAGTAATGAAATTGCAAAATAATGAAAAAGATAAATGGATGAATAAGTAAAAAAACAACACAGGTGTTTGCAACACACAGAAGCAAAAACATGGGTCACTGCTCAAATCCTTCACCACGTTTGTATAACTTTTCAAAATTAATGCCACACTAAGTTGAAATGAGTTAATAAAGTCACTGGCAGATATGAAGACAATGCTAGTATATCTTTAGTAGTCATTCTGAGATAATGGCTTCATTTCTTCTCCTTGTATCTCATGTCATTTTAATTTCAGCAGAAAGCATGTCTCAAAACTTTTTTTAAAAAAAATTAGAAAAGTAAACCCACTCATTAAAAACCAAAAATATGTTTTGTTTTGTATCTTTCTATTGCCAAAATGTTATTCTTTCAGATAAAAATGTGAATGTAGATGAGAAATTATGAGCTAATATTTGAACTTGTTCGTATAAGCCAACTAGACTTACATGGTCAGACAGTTAGTGTCCCGATGATGAACACATTGCTCAAATCCAAACAGAAGAAGAGTGATAACTTGATGTTCCCCAGGTTCATTGCAATAACCAGGAATTACCAGGCCACTGACCATGGATTCCAGACAGTTGAACACACAGACAAGTTAGGACACTGGCTTTCCCATATACATTTGACATAATAGGCAACATTTAATTAGTTGGGTAATGTTTTACTCATTGTGTCAGACAAAAATAGTGGATGAATAAATTCTGCAAATAGTTTGCATTAATGCAGGACTGTGATTTTCCAAGAGTGCCCAGTAAATCTTCTTGGATTCCACTTTAGGATGAGAAGAGAGACTAAGTAGATAGGCCCCTAGGCAGTACACTCTGTCTCAACCAAAACATGCCTGATTTTGTCTCTTTTGTTTTCTTAAGATTTCATATAAGCCTGTTTTTCTCAAAGAGTTTAGGATGAAAAGACTTTGAAAAACTCCAACACAGGCTGTGTTTAAAGTACTTCTCCGATGTGTTCCCGAACTAACTAAATGCTGTGGCTTAAAAAAAAAATAAGCTGGACACAGCAGTGTATGTGTGTAATATCAACACTCAGGAGGATATAGCAGGAAAATGACTAGATGGATCCTATCTCAAGAAATAAGCAAAAGTAAAAAATACAACTATAGTGCATCATTATATAATATAAGCTGAATATTGTGAAAGGTCAACTTTAAGGTTAACTTCTGCCAATTTCCAACAGTTTAAAATCTGACAAAGGAAACAAACTTTTATGCACACATAAAAGAGCATCTTGTGCATAATAGATACATAAAAATATTTACTTGTGCACTGTAGCTCAGTAAGAGGGGAAACTGGATGGTACAAATGGGCATTACAATTATGGTAGGTTTTAGTTACATCACTAAACAATACAGTAACAAATTGCAGGACCATGCTTCTTGGAAATAATCTCTGCATCCTATTTCCCTTTGAAGAAAATAAGAAGGTGTCATTCTGCCCACAACTTGTGAGTCTGATGTGAGTAGCTGGTGACCATGACCTCTAAGATGAAGGAGCTTAAGAAACAATGAACTCAAAATCATCCTTCAAGACATCCATCAGACACAGTGATGATGCAATTGCTTAAGTGCTTAGACTACAGAAGCAATTCAATTTTCTACCTCATGCAGTTTAAGGTTTCTTGTTCAACTAAAGCCAAACAAAACACAAAAAGAAGGAATTTAAATTTGTCCGTAGCAATATATTGAAAGAGTGTCTTAGATGGAAGGCCGAAGTGAACTTTTATGTGTCTTTTTTTTGGTTGACCCTCACTAGCTCTGCTAACATATAAGACTCATCTCACTGATGACACGAAAGGGTTAAAGACCTCCCTCATAGCTGAAATGTTTCCTTCCCTGTCCTCTGGAAGAAAGTTGCTTGTCTTTATCTCCCTTGGAATTCTGGGAAAAGGTGGCCATTTGCTAACTACCTTTTTCTCCAATGAAAGAGGCTGTTGGTGCACTGATGTTAACCGGAGAACCAGTTGTTCTCTGGAAAAGCCACAAAAAAGACAGTAATTCATCCTCAGTCACCTTTCTTCAAGTTTACAGAACTCGGACTATCCAGAGATGCAGTATATGGGCAGTCTGCCCACCAGAAGAGAAGACCATGCTGAATTTATAACCACCACCCTGCCACTGCCCTGCCCTGGTGCCCACCTTCTGTACAACTCCCTAGATAAGTTGCACCTACCCACCCACCAAACAAACAAACAAACAAACAAAAACCAGAGACATGCTATTGTTTTGAGATAGCCTGTGGCAATTTGAATAAAAATGGCACCTGCAGGCTTGTATGCTTAGGTCCCTAGTTAATGGAACTGTCTGGGAAAGATGGGATGTGTGGTCTTGGTGGAAGAGGTGTGTCAATGAAGGAGCAGGCTTTGAGGTCTATTATTAATAGGGCATGTACCATTCCCAGTTATCTCTCTCCCTGCTTCATGGTGGTAGTCAAGTTTCAAAATGTGAGCTCTCGGCTACTGCTCCAATGCTATTCCTGTTTCTCCACTACTATGCTTTGTCCTGGCAATAGACAAGTAACTAAGACAGAGCTTCTGTCTTCTTTGGTTTGGTTAAATTTCTGAATAAATTTCTTTTCTTACTCTAATGACTTATTATTGAGTCATTGGTATTTTTTTTGAAGTATTTATTTATTTTTCTTATTTTACACATTGATCCCAGTTCACTCTCCCTCCCTTTCCCCCTCCCTCTCTTTCTGAGTCATTGGTGTTTTTGAGTAGCAAGCCAGGTACATAGTCACACATTAGAACTCTTTTATTAGACTTTCACCAATTCATTATCAGGAAAATGCAAATTATCCATCTCCAGAATGACTCCAGGGCAAGCACTAATGTACCATAGTTGGAAATGGTATTTTTCTCCTCTGTCTTTGTTTTTGTTTTTCAGAGTATTGTTCCATGACACTGACTTGCCTAAAACTCACTATATAGACTAGTCTGGCTTAAAAGTTACACTTCTCCTGCCTCTGCATCTTGAATGTTGGGATGATAGCCATGCACTTCTATGCCTGGCACTATAAGTGGTATGATAAGAATTATTTTTGGGGGGAGAGTATTAGAACTAGAGGTTGTCTGTCAAACCCTAGCTGAAAAAAATCTAATTTTATGAAATATTTTTCATTCCAGGTGTAGACATAAAAATATTTTTACTTAGTTCAAAGTGACCATCCCCAACACATTTTGGAGGTAGGAGAAATCTAGTAGTATTTGTGTTTTGCAGACACCAATCACTGTGATGGGAATGAGGCACATTCCCCTGACATAGTCATGAGCTATTTTTACAACAGTAGTGGCCTTACGAAGAGGAGGAAAGTTGAAGTTAGCTTTGATTTCACAACACTGTATCTATTAAAGGACCCAAACTGTACAGCTGAAATAATGTATCAAAATAAAACACAGATTCTTGAAAAAGTATGAGAGAACCCTGAGCAAAAATGTTATTTCTAGCTGCAAAAACACTGTGCATTTGGAAAGTCAGAAGCCTTTACACTTGTAGCTTTTTCTCCTACCAGTCAATTTCTAAAGGGCATACAATTCAACAGCTCCTGAAACTGTAGATTCCAGATGCCTTAATATTTTTGTGTTGCCAAGAAACAATAAACATTATTCCACTTGTACAGTTTAAAAACAATAAACACACAGGTATGGGTGATTGCTTGTGCACTACAGTAACAAACAAGACTTTACAATTAGGTAACTCTCAAATATTGTTCTCCACAAGAACATCCTCTTCTTAAATATAGTACAATCATTAAAGTACATGAAACACAAGCTGAGCTCGTATGAAACAGAAAGGCCTGGTGGCCAGGGACCATTATATACTCCATCTTTTGTTTCCGATACTGCAGGCAGGCTTTTGAGTTCCTGAAAAAAATTAGCTTACTATTAGAATTACATACAGCCTGTCATGTTGTTTTCCAGAGTGGCCATTATTTCACAAGTGCAACACCTAAGGAAAATGGATCGCATATCTGACAGGGTTTTTTCCCTCCCAGCTGGGAGGGGTCTATGGCTTTATTGTCTTAGTAACTGACTTCTTGTCAAATGAGCAATCATCTGCTGATCCATTACCTGTGTTCTCATTTCCTAATGAGGTTTCCTCTTAAAGAGTCATCTTGACCCTTAGAAGGGCAGGACACCTGTTTTTATTTCTACTACAAATCATTTGTTCTTAATCTCTTACATATGGTTCCAGTGGAGTTTATGGGATAAATCTGTTCCTGTCTGCTGGAAGTAGTTGTTGTGTTAGCACATAGTATGTATGCTAGGGCAAGCAGATTCCAGGCTTTCTGGACTCCACAAAGTATCATATATGCTAATACAATAATGAATTTCCAGGAAACATAGATGATAAGATTTTCAACTTTTGCTTAAGCACAAAAACCCTTTCTTTGAAATATTTATCAATAAATTAAGCATCTAGATTTAAATATTGGATCCTTTAAATTATTATGTTCCTTAAATGTTTTATACCCATGAAATAAAATGTCCCTTCTTTATTAGCATATATAAATTAAGTTAGCTATTGCATATAGTGTGTAGAGATTGATCATGATAAACTCTTTCATTCAGAGAGGTAATGAGTTAAAGGTGAACAGAAAACAGAAAAATAGAGCATTATATAAATGGTTACAGTGATGTCTTATTCCCACTGATTTTTAAGGTGTTATTTATCAGATGGTTTCAGCGATTCTACAAGTAGTTTAACTTTTTTTTTCACCTAAATACTCAGAGGAATAAAAATAATAAAAGCTTCATAACATCATCAAATTACAGACACTACTATATTTTTAAGAAGGTCCCAAGTAGAAATCACTTATTGCTTAATGTTTTCACTTGCTTAATCATATAGGTAGTGGCTCTGGCTTGGATTAAGCAGCTTGTGGTAAAGATGTCTTTATTGAGAGATGAGTGCCAATCAATTACTTCCAGGAACAAATGTGAGACATGCTTCATCAGGGAATACAAACTCAACATGTCTCATCTTTAGGTTGAATTTTTTCCCATATGATGTTTAGCATTACTTAACATGTGGATGACAAGTGAGTTTGTGGCTACACAAAGCATTTTTATTACATGGGAACCAACCTACTTACCATTTACTTGAACTACCAAGACATCAGCTGGCAAGGCTCTTGTGTTCCTTATCTTCTGATTTAAGATGCTGTGGTTCTTTTTTTCTCCCATAGTTCTTTGTCCAGTAGAGGGGGCATGGAGCACCCTAATAATGTCTGCTTTCACAACATCTTCTTCTGGACTAGGAAACACAAAAGCAGGCTTCATATTCAAAGGGTGCACCTGGTATTGCCTCACCATCTTTCCTTCAACGTCCTGACCTATACTTCAGTTGCTGAGAATGTCAAGGACCAGGTAATCCACTCTCATCATTCATACTCCTCTACATGCTACTCTCTGACTTAAATGTATTTCTCATGTTCCCTCTTCGAGGTTTTTTGTTGTTGTTGTTTATTTGTTTGTTTGTTTTTTAACATTTTGTAACTTAAAGACAAGTTACTGTATTGAGGTAAGACTCAAACACAAAAAGTCAAAAGCCATCAGAAAAATAAAATTTTGGTGTTCTCAGGCTTTTGTGATCAGTGTAGTTCTCATCTCTCAGAACTACATGGTGGTTTAAATCCACCCATTATTCTTTTCTGGCCTCCAAGGGCACATATATATATAGACCAACAAAAAACACCAATTGGTACAAAACAAAAGTCAATCTTTAAAAACTCCCAGTGGAAGTCATGTGTTATCAGAAGCAAAGATCTTTAGAAAGTGTTCGGTCTTGTGTTGTCTACCGATAAGAAAACCATTCACCTCTCATCCCTTCAAGTAAATTCAGCTAAACCTCTTGGTTTCTTTTATTGAGCTTTTTCAGTAAATGTTTACTGTTCAAAGTAGTGGGTTTCATAATTGCATTTTTGTTTGAGTATCTTTTTTTTCTCTTTGAGTTGAGTCATGCAAACTCCTGGTTTTGTGCCCATCCTGCTGTGTGATTTTTACAATAACAGAGTTTAAACCACTGAGTAATTTAAGCCACTGATATGAGTCTTCTCTCCTCACCCAAACAAAAGGGAGCTTCTATTACAACACAATTGTACTTTGGTTTGGACATGCCATCTATCACTAGGTCTTTGTTACTGCTAAAACTTATACTCCCATTTTGTAGTGAACTTTGCCTTTTTGACATTTTTGAAGCACCATATCTATCAGAACTATAGGATTTCTGTGGATGCAAAAACATGGCCTGGGGTTACCTATGCTGTGGATTAGGGGTGTATTCCAGGCCTTGCAGCCAGTGGGTAGGGTTTGAATGCCAGTTCTGACAGCTGTAGCTATCTCTTGAGGAAACATTTAGCATATCACCATCTTTCTCCAGACATCTCAGAATGGGTTTAGCTCTGTACCTTGAGACTATTTTAATGACAATATTTATGAAGTTCCCCAGTAAAAGGCCTAGAGACTCAAGTTATGTGGGGAGACTGGTATCCTTTGCCCTCTGTCCCTCCAGGTTCACAATTACACCCTTGCCCAAATATACATACATATGTCTGACTATGTGGTTTTTGATGTAGTGCTTGTTCAAGGCCGAATCTACAAATCTTTCATCTACCTGTCATTTAAAAAAAGAAAAACAGTATGTTAGTAGGATGGTTTATATGAGACTATTTCTCAGATTAAGTGTTAAAGAAATATAATTTTCACAATAGCAATACAATTATTTGAGTTAGTGTTTTTTTCAGTAATTCAATAATTTATTATTCTATAAAAGTATGTAAACAGACATAGCTCTTACCCAAAAGGCATATGTGAATGGCTCTTACAGTGAAGGCCTTTTGTCAAAGTCTTTCTGTGTATTGTACCAGCACTGCTGTAGTTTTTAAATGAACCACATTTTTTATTATTTCCAAATTTGGCTATATATAAAAGAATCTCATTGCAAAATGCTTGAAGGAAAGGAGGAAAATTCAGAATATCCCCCAAACCTTCAGCTCTTACACTAAAAAGAGAGAGAGAGAGATTCTAAAATACATAAACAAGCATGCTGTAGGGGCCCATCCTGCTACCAACCTCCCTATAATTTCAAACTGCGGAGTTTTTACTTATGTAGAATTTCCAAAATTAAAAGCAAAACAACTTCTAAGTTTGTAGTAAATCTAGGGGTTGTATATTTTAGATTAATTCTGTAAAAAAAAATTCTTACAAGTAAAATAATTCACATTTAAGGGAAATATCATGGAGACTTTTTCACACAGAAATACATAATGAAAAAGTAAAAACATGTTGCCTTTCATTTATGTATGTTCACTAGGTGGCCACTTGCTCTGTACATCTTCAGTTGTGACGTATGGGATGTATTGGGGGTTGTGGAGAAACAGATTTTTTTAAATTCACTGTAGACTCTAAGACCAACCAGAAAGGAATATTGTAAGTTGATGCTGAAATATCAAGTAGAAGTGGTGGTCCTCATCTACACCACTAAGGAAGAAGAAGAATAGCATTTTTTGACAGATACATATGCAGTTTCAAGTCTGCTAAGCTGTGGTCTGTCATGGCTATGTTTGATTTCTATGGTGACAGTGTCTTCTGAATGTCCACACTGTAGCTCCAGCTGCAGAGAACCAGATGCTTGAAGAGAAAGAAAACAACGTTCTAAATGCTAAGTTCAAGGGTGGGAGATGGAGCTCTTACTTTTAAAAGAAAAAGACATATAAATGAAGGAAAGATGATTTAGGAATGGTGGATCGAGTTATGGTTTCTTTACCATTATTAATAATTCACAGTTGCATCATTATGAACCAGGGTTTTCATAGCTTACTTTAACCCTTACTACTTAGTTTTTGCTTGGTGACTTTGGAATGCTGTCAGTTGCACTGGGTTAAAATTCTAAGAGGGCAATCTAAGGTTAGTTGAGTGTTTAATGAAAAAGTTAGGGAGAGGCTGACAACTGAAACAGATACGCCCAGCCATTGAGCTTGTTCCCAATCATTCCTGAAGTAGCTGTTTGCACATGTCAAGGCCTTTTTCTGTTAGATCCTTCCTAATTGGCTTCCTCTTTTGCAGAAATCTGTTTCCACATGAGGATATTTCTGGGTTCACATTGCCAAATTCAGAAGATTTAAGACAAGCTCATATTTCCAATTAACTTTAATTGACATCCTGAGAATTACAGGAGCCAAAGAATGCCAGGAAAAACGACGATTTTGTCCTAATTATAATAATGGTACCATAGAAAGCATGATGGGATATACATATAACAAATATTTATTCATTTTGGTTGTACAGGTATGTCCATAGTGCCTGCAGAGACCAGAAGAGGGCATCAGATATCCGACAGATGGAATCTCAGACAGCTGTGAGCCATCAGATGTGATGGTTGGGAACTGAACCCATACCCTCTGGAAGAGCAGTTAAATTTCTTCACCTCTCAACCATCTCTTCAAAAACCTTTATATGAGATTGTTTTAAAAATATGTTTAGTTTTAGTAAAGCTTACTTAAAGTTACTGTTGCTACAAGGATAAAGTCAGTAAAAACAGGGAACCGAGTGCAACTTGAAGCCTTGTTCACATCATCAGACATTCAGTGACCTCCCAGTCTGCTACTAGTCTGCCTCCTCAGTCCTCCATACACAAGTACCTTGCAGCGCTGGCCTCTGTCATCCTGAGTACTTGGCCTTTGACCTATTGAGTCCATCTGATTTCTGGTAGTCTTGCTTCTCTGAATTCCAGTTACTCTTGGGGGAATCTCCCTCAGGGAGTCAACTTTGGGGTTTAGTTTATCCTTCATCCTTAAGCTAAATCACTTCCTACTAGGCCTTCCCCCCTGTGTCTATGCTGAGAGAGTATCCCTCCAGAGGGAATGGGCTCCCAAAGTCCATTTGTGCACTAGGAATAAATACTGGGTCCACTTCTAGAGGCCCCAAAGATTGTTCAGGCCCCCCAACAGAAACCCATGTTCAGGGGGCCTAGTTTGATTCTATGCTGGTTCTCCAGCTGTCAGTCTGGGATCTGTGAGGTCCCACTTGCTCAAGGCTGCTCACAAAACTTCATTTTGTTTTCTGTAACTATACTTAAGCTTACCTTTTTTGTTATAAATCGTTGTTCCATCCTCTTTTTGTGTAAATCATTTTGAAAGAACTACCCACGTTACTAATTGTCTATTGTATTGATTACCATTAACTTCTGCATAATGGTTTAAGTCTGCCATATCTAACCTTTGTTTCTGCCAATTATTGTAAGAAATGCTTGTTGTTGATTGTTTTTTACTTGTTGACTCTTTGGTAGGCACACAACCCAAATCCCAAATAAATACACAGAGGCTTATTCTTTTACAAATGTCCAGCCTTAGCTTGGTTTATTTCTTAACCAGCTTTTCTTAAATTTTCCTATCTACCTTTTGCCTCTGGACTTTTACCTTTCTCTACTTCTGTATATCTTTTCTTTCCTTCTTATTCTATGTCTGGCTGGCCCTTCTTTTCTTGCTCTTTGATCTTTTCTCCCAGATTTCTTCTACTTATTCTCTCTGCCAGCCTGCCCTGCCCATTTTTCTTCTGCCTTGCTAATGACCATTTAGCTCTTTATTAGGCAAGTCAGATGTTTTAGACAGGCAATGTAACACATATTCACAGAGTTAAACAAATGCAACATAAAAGAATGCAACACATCTTTTCAACATCAAACAGATGTTCCCCAGCTTAAACAAATATAACACATCTTAAAATAATTCTGCAATAATATATATAAGTATTTCTGGAAGCAGAATTCTTGGGCATTAGGCTTAATTTCACACACTAGTAAAGGTCTTACCTCATGCATGACTTAATTTTAATTTTTCAAATCATATATAAATTTGTGGCTCATTTCTTTTGGAGTTTTTTCTATTTACAAATTCTCTGCACATTATTTTTGCTCATGTTTTTATTTTTGTTGTTCACTTATATTTTTTATAAGTTGTATATAATTTCCAGGTACTATGTGTTATAAACATCACACCCTTTTTTCTTTTATTTGTGTTGATGATGAAATAAATATATGCAATCATATCAATTTTATTAGTCTTGTAACTGTTTTGAAAGTTCTTTGATAGTCATTTCTTCTTTGTCAATCATAAAAATGTTTAATTGTATTTTCTTCTACTAACCTTGTAATTTTATATCTAGTATTAGGTCTTTAGTTCATCTGGTGAATACTTTCATATGTGACATTAGGTAGGGAACTGGTTTTTAAACACTATCTATTGAACTAGTTTTCAGAAACAACCAACTAAGCAACCTAAGCTTTTCTTAATACATAAAATGGTCACTAAGCTTATTGCTTTTCTTGGCACATCGGTCTTTCAGAAAAGGAAATATGATCTGTCTTCTTAAATTGTTGCAATATCTTGGGGGAGATGTGAGTAATACACAGGGAGTTGAACAGCAAGCAGGACATGATATAATTAAGGATTAAATTGTATGTAAAAAGGACAATAAGTGTAAGAGAATGTCAAAGGTAAGGGAGATCAAAGAGGATCCCTATGGATGGGGAAAGCTTTGTATTATCTCACTCTTATTTAAATGATGCAGGTGCTCTCCCCATCCCCTACAAAGTTTGCTTTAGAGGACTTCCTGGAAGGGTTCATGTCTCATCCTGAGCCACTCCTCTTAATAGTTGCTAAACCCTGATGAGTAAAACCAGATTCTTCTTTCTCCTATGTGGACACTAATTAATTAGATCACCAAGAAAGACGAGTTGCAGACCTTGCTCTGCCTCATAGTTTTGGCTTTACTGATTTGAAGGGAAATGGTGATGGAAAAGTAAATTGAGTTCATGCCCCAATATTGCTGAAACTCATCCATGAAGAGAAGTGACAGAAGTAGCCCTATCCTCACATCCTTTAGACATGTCTAGGCTGATGGAGTATCCCTCTATGTGGAATGGGCTCCCAATGTTCATTCATATGCTAGAGATAAATATTGATCCACTACCAGAGGCCCCATAGACTGTACAGACCTCCTAACATTCAGGGGGTCTGGGTCAGTCCTATGCTGGTTTCCCAGCTATCAGACTAGAGTCCATGAGCTCCCCCTTGTTCAGGTCAGCAGTTTCTATAGATTTCTTTAGCCTGGTCTTGACTGTTTGTTCACCACTCTCCCTCTCTGCAACTGGATTCCAGGAGTTTGGCTCAGTGTTTAGCTGTGGGTGTCTGCTTCTGTTTCTGTCAGCTACTAGATGAAGGCTCTAGTGATGGAGTATAAGTTAGTTATCAATCTCATTATGAGAGATGGGCAATTAAGGTAGCCCTCCACTGTTGCTCAGATTGTTAGTTGGGCTCATCCTTGTAGGTCTCTAGACTTTTCTCTAGAGTTAGTTTCTTCTTCAAACCTACTATTCAGGCTTTTCTTATACAATTTACACTTCTTCATATTTGTATATTTATTTAAATAAGCAAATGACATAGGTGATATGCCAGATTTTGATGATTCCACATGGGAGGCTTCACCCTCCATGAGGAGTGGATAGGGGGTGGGATGAAGGTTGGTGAGGGAAATGGGAGAAAGGGAGGGACAGGGATCTGGGATTGTTATGTAAAATATGATATTTTTAATTTAAATAAAAGTTGATAAAAATGCAGTTTGACAAAATTATTACAGACAATACAAAATATACTTACAAAACAGAATGGTGAAGAATTTCATGAGGATAAAAGACATTACATATGTAGGAGGCCACGTGGTTCCATAGCCCCTATTCTCTAAATATATAGTGAAAACCACAAAAGGCTCTGAATATGCCCTTGAGAATAATACATTATAATCATTTAACTCAATTTATATGCCTAGAAACTCACCCATCAATGACCTTCGAAAATACACTTTCAATCTCAGATTTTTTACATTCGTATGTCCAAAGTTTGCTATTTTTAATTTAAAATTTTAAATAATAAAAGGCAATAAAATGAGATATAGCAAAACTAAATCATTGTAATTGGACAGAACTAACTAACAGAAGGTAAAGAAACCAAGAGAACACCCACTAATCAGAGACCCATTCATTTGCACACTCAGGACTCTCATAAAAACGCTAAACTGAATCAGTATGGTGGCTCCTCGGGAACATGGGAATCTCAAGACCCAGTATTTCCACTCTTAGGCATATATCCAAAAGATGCACATTCATACAACAAGGACATCTGTTCAACTATGTTCATAGCAACATCACTTGTAATAGCTAGAACCTGGAAGTAACCTGAATGCCCTCAACTGAAGAATGGTTGGAGAAAATGTGGTACATGTAAACAATGGAGTACTACTCAGTAGGAAAAAACAAAAACAAAAAACAAAAAACAATGGAATCTTGAAATTCTCAGACAAATGGATGTAACTAGAAAAAAACATCCTGAGTGAGGTAACCCAGTCACAAAAGGACAAACATGGTATGTATTCACTCATATATGGATTTTAGACATAGAGCAAAGGATTACCATCCTAAAATCCACACCAGCAGAAAAGGTAGGAAACAAGGAGGACCCTAAGAAAGAGAGAGAGAGAGACATGGTCCCTCGGAGAAGGGGAAACAAACAAGATGTCCCGAACAAATTGGGATCATGAGGGGAGGGAAGAGGGAGTTAGGAGAAAGAGAAAGGGAGAAGAGGAGGGGAGAAGGGAGGTAGACATGAGGGAGCAGGAAGATTGAGTCAGGGAAAGAATAGAGGAGAGCAGAAAAGAGAAGCCACAATAGAGGGAGCCATTATAGATTTAAAGAGAAATCTGGCACTAGGGAAATATGTAGAGATCTACAAGGACGACCCCAACTAACAATCTAAGCAATAGTGCAAAGGCTACCTTAAATGACCTTCCTCGATAATGAGATTGATGATCAACTTATATGCCATCCTAGATCCTTTATCTAGTAGCTAACAGAAGCAGAAGCAGACACCCACAGCTAAACACTGAACCAAACTCCTGGAATCCAGTTGCAGAGAGGGAGGAGTGGTGAACAAAGGGATCAAGACCAGGCTGAAGAAACCTACAGAAACTGCTGATCTGAACAAGGGGGAGCTCATGGACTCTAGTCTGATGGCTGGGAAACCAGCATAGGAACGACCAGTTAGGAGGTCTGTACAGTCTATGGGACCTCTGGTATTGGATCAGTATTTATCCCTAGTATATGAATGAACATTGGGAGCCCATTCCACATAGAGGGATACTCCCTCAGCCTAGACACAATGGGGAGAGCCTAGGCCCTGCTCCAAATGATATGACAGACATTGAAGACTCCCCATGGAAGGCTTCACTCTCTCTGTGGAGCAGAAAGGGGATGGGATGGGAGTTGGTGGGGGAGACAAGGGAGGAAGGGAGGGTGAGTGAACTGGGATTCACATCTAAAACAAGCTTGTTTCTATTTTAAATTAAAAAAATATTTTAAAAAATGCTAAATTGAAAGTCATAATGTAGATTCAGGGGACCCAGTGCAGACCCATGCAGGTCCTGTGCATGAGTTTGGTCTCTGTGAGTTCATATGCTGCTCATTTATTTTAAGATTTGTTACAATCCTATCTATTTAATTCACTAAAGGTAGAGTTTATTAATTGTTATGCATTTATATAATAGCAACAATACTGTATCTGGACTAAGTAACACAAGTTTTAAGTTTCACAATAAGTAATATTATTTTTATCATTCAAAGAATTAATTTTTTCAAGTAACACACATGGGAGAAAGTTTTATAGAGTCACTTTAGTTAGGTGAATTGAGAGACATTGGGGTACACACACACACACACACACACACACACACACACACACACTTGCCTCATTCTCATTTCTCATTCCTGGATTCCTCAAGAATCTATTGCAAATGTTGTTGCCCAAGATACTATGGATATAAAAGGATGGGAGAACATACATCAATCTGTAAACATAAATTATATGTTGGTACATGAGGATGCAATATTAATTGAGAATATACATTAGAAGTGAAAGACCCACAGAGGGTGTGGACCCTCACTCCCCAACTCAGGAAAGGTGGACCCCCAAATCACACACGAGAAGCGGTCTTGATGCAAAAGAATGAGGTCTTTTATATTCCAGTGCACTGGGATCCATAGCCACACTCCACGTGGGGGTAGAGAGGACTGGGAACTCTGGGTACAGGTTTTAGACAGCTTTTTGGATTACAACAAAGCCAGCACATGATAAACCAATCATCTCATAGCATCCAGTGCGGACCAATTAATTTGAACTATCCAAGCCTGCGCTTAGCCCAGGAAGTCTGCTTTTGCGCAGGCTTCTGGGTGAGGTGACAAGGCTCATTTCCTGTGTTCACTCACTCACAGGTGCTGTTGTAAACAGCCCTGTCGTAAACAGTCAAGAATGTGACCTTTTGCCTACTCCTGGGGTCAGTAGAGAGTTAGGCTAAATTTTTCCATCCTTACAGAAGCATGATGTATAATATTACTGCAACCATGATATAGTTGAGCATGTTACACTCAGGAATATGGTAACATGAAAAAATGACAGTGGATTTGAGAAAGAAAATGTTTTAAGGAATAAAGCTTGACTAAAATATGAAATACAATAATTTCATATATATTTCATTATGTATAAAATTAATAATTTCACATATTACAAATATAATTATTTATCACCCTTTGGGACTTCTGTGTTTTCTTCAGACAAGTTAAGCTGTTTTTAAGTGAGGGTTTATGGACATTCATAATGCAACTTTATAAAATCCAAATAGGCATTTCCCTTTTGAAGGACCTACTAGACACTAGCTTTAACAAAACTGTTAGCATTAACTATAAATATTACATATTAAATCTGGGCTTATTGCCTTTAATAACACATTTACAGGGCAAAATTGATATTTTTATTATCTTCCTATATTTGTTTTAAAAACTGTGTACTGCTGTCTCAAAAGAAAGTATGTTGTCATCAAAAATTAGTTCCAGTATAGTTAGATTATTTCTATCAGGGAAACCCAAAGAAACTGGAGAAACAGTAGGCTAGTACCTTAGCATGCAATCCCTTATTTTTAAAGTAGATATTAGAGTCTGAGCCCCAATTTATTGTACAAGCATATTCCCTCACCCAAATCTTCCTATACATCCCATGGAAATATAGGATAAGTATGTCTGAGGTGGAGGGCTATAAAGTTACAAGATGATGCTGATGGGGGTGGTCTGAAAATTATGATTTTGGAAATAAAATAAGTGGCTTACAAAATTGTTGGCATATTCTATGATAAGATAAATTTATCTGACTTACCAAATTTTCATTCATTTCCTGTAAGTTCTTGAATTGATTTGAACTCTTTTGTCCTGAATTGCTAACGACTTGAATATCTGAAATTGCAAAGGTCCCTTGATAATATTCCATGTTCTGGCCTGTGACATTAATGAAAAGTAGAAAAATACATGATGTAGACAGACTTCAGACTCTAAGACCTAAATATAACGGGCCTGTAATAAAGTCTTAACTATATCACCAAGCTTCTTTCTACTTGAATTTAATAAAGATAAAGTAAATAAACAAAGTTTTATGTTAATAGTAGTAGCTGATATCTGTTGAATCTTTGCTATGTGCATAAAGCTCTTCTATCATGGCATCACGTGTATCATTTGATCATAATTCCATTTTCTTGAATTTGGCATCACTTCCATCTTATAAAGAAGGAAAGTAAGACACAGTAGCATTAAATACCTTGATGTTTGTCATACAACTAGTAGGTGGCCTTTTTGAATGTTTCAATCTTACAGTGCAGCCCTAAAGCTTGGATGTTCATTGCTGTTTTTGTGGTCTTTGTTGAAGTATAAACCATCCATGAGTACAGGTAAGTGAACATTCTTGTCCACTTTTACTTGTGGTGAAAGACCCAAGTACAGTGAGGGAAATTACAAGGAGAAACACTGTCAGAGATTGAAAGTGAAAACAGTTTGTAACAGAGGTGTCAATCAGCTCATTGTCTGGTTGTCAGGGATGAAAAGAAATAGATCAGAGCATGTTGTCAAACAGTACTTTCATAGTTGAAGATGCTTTTGTAAAATCAAATGAACTAACTCAAGGATGCACCTTTTGTCATTCATATAAGCTACTATGTGGGTGTCAGTATGAGATTTAGAATATGGTAGAAAGTCATTTTCCTCTCCTAAAAGAAGAGGTGTCACTTTCACCAAGTCTTTAAAGATGACACCAGATAAAACCATTCAAGTAATTGAGATACTCAATTTTTATCACACTCATTCATCATGTGAGTGTGTCATTGTGGAGATTTGACAAAGTATAAATGGCTTACTTAGCAAAGAAAGATAAAGTACAGAGAGAATTTTAAAATGCACTACTTGCATTAATATAACATGTTAGACAATAAACACAAACAGTTTGGGGAAGAATAATTTTTTAAGAGTGATAACATTGAGTCATAGTTTATCTGAGATTTTAAAATTCTCTAGATATGTGTTTTTATTCCCCCTAGAGATTCTTCTGGGCAGAGAAGTATAGCCAAAAGTGAAAGAACCAATTTTGATAGCTCATACATCATAGTTTTTCATCCTGATGTGCAATAAATAGTAAGACTTGTTTCATCTGACTGTCGATAGCCCACAGAAAAATGACTATTTTCATTATTATTTTTAGATTCTAAAAAACATTGTACCTCAGCAAGTGAGAATCATAAACAACCATAAAAGTATTCACATTAATAGTGGTACAATAATAATTTGTTGCTGAAATGACAGAATAATCATTAAAATATTCTGAGCGGAGACAGTCCCAGGTAAAAGTATGAATCTCATTTACAGATATGTAAATCATGAGGTCCTATGTGGGAAAATGAAATTACCAATTCTTCCTACCAGAGACCAAGACATGAGCCAGAAGTCCAATAGTCACTGCTGCCATCATCAGGGCAAGTACTGTAAGAAAGGCGATTGTCCACGGCTTCGGATCTCTGCTGTGGGTGCTACATGCTCTTGCTCTGAACAAAGGAAGACCATGTTACTCTCTCATGGGAGTCGTTGCAGGTTTTCCAGTTGTGCTTGGATAAATTCACGCTGCTATACACCCTTAACAGCAATAGTGTATTATTTTCAATTTTGGTCAAGGTTATCTTGTGTCTGCGAGGAACTATTGAAAATATTAGACTTAGGAATCACGTTCTTGCTCTGGTTCCTGCATCTAATGCTATTTGGTGGTACCGATGTAATACCAAACTGTTCTCAGCAGAGGTTCCAATGTTCTACGTATGCTTGCAAACCCCCACCGCTCACCCTCCAGGGCTCTTTTATGTATCAGTCTATCTAAGTTTCACTATTTATTTATTTTTAGATGCATTTGTGTTTGGCCTGTATGTTTGACCGTGAGGGAGTCTGATTCCCTGGAACTGGAATTACAGATAGTTATGAGCTGCTATTTGAGTGCTGGGAATTGAATCTGGACCCTCTGGAAGAGTTGCCAGTGTTCTTAACCTTTAAATCATCTCTCCAGCCCCTAAGCTTCATAAACTAACCAGATATACTCTTTCATTCACCTTTTAACTAGTGTGAAATTTTAAACATGGAAAATTGGAAAAGTATAAATAAATGTATTAATTTTATAATGCTTTCCATGACATTCTTGTCATTCACTCATTTTTAACCCTGCATTAATAATGTGAATTAAAGTATTATGTCCTTTTATAAAATCATTACTATTAACAGGGTATTTTCAATTTCACATTAGCTCTCCTAGCATTAATATCACTCTAATATCTTCTAATGGCCAGTCTATCTTTAGGTTACTTTTTATCTTCAAAGCATTTACTATTGTTTTACACTGGCCAGGATAGAATCCTATTTTATATAGATCTATGCAGATTACATGGGAACTATTACTTTTAAGTCTCTTTTAGTCAAAACCAGCCATGCTTGCTTGAAGTTTGGGTGTCATTGACTTGAAGAGATCAAACTAACAGTCTTTAGACAGTTTTGCCTTCTATTCATGTCTGATGCTTCCTTGTAGTATCAATCAGTGTGCTTCTCCTTTCAACTAGAATTTACACTCTAAAATCTTCATTAAATTTGGGTTAAATTCATTTGACACAAATATTTTCCATGTGATAATATGTGCTTCATATTTCATTAAACTAGGAGTAGAAAAAATTGTCACAGTTTTGGATGAAAGGTTAGCTGAAGAAATGCTCTATGTTCTCTGACTAATGTAATCTACTACACTCAATTGTAATAGCAAGCAGATGTTCCACCCACCAGATAAGAAACTATTTCACCTTTTAAATGGCTTGATGCTTACATTCAGGGTGAAAGAAAAACCCTAGAGATGTTTTAGTATAATTTAGCCACACTCTGAAAGAAGATACCTATGTTCAGAGAGATCAAGTGATTTCTCTCCCATAACAGAAATTGTCGATTTCTCAAACTAAGGTCGTTTGACTTCTAGAAATTCCTGGTGGCAGACTATCAGTTAGCTACATTTAGGATTCTTATGTGTTCTTATAGTTTATGTGTTCATCTATTCACTCATACATTAGGCAGCTTCTCTATGGCTGCCTTGAAAAAGTTCAATGACCAAAAAAAATGGGACTTCAGGTCAGCTTCAAGAGAATATGTTTTGCCTCAGTGGGGCCTCTTCATTGACTCTTGTTAGTGTGCCAAACAAAAGTTATTCAAAGGAAGAAAGGTTTAACCTAAGAATACATGCAAGCTTCCAAATCTATCTATTTCCTTGTCATAAAACAGCTCTTCTGAACAGAACAGACAGAGGAAGGCAGTTGTGAAAAATCACACCCCTACTACTCAGGTATTTACAGACTGTGACACAGGCTCACAATTGGGAAAGAGTGGCTCAGTTTCACTGTTGGCTGCTGAAGTGCCATATGAGTTGTATCTTCAAATCCCACAGAGAAGCTGTGAACATATGGGTACCAACAAACCAGAGCAAAAACTTTCATTAAAGTGTTAGTTACATTTTGTGGGAGGTTGGAGATGATTGAGTGGTTAAAAGTGTTTGCAAAGGACCCAAATTCAGTGCCCAGCACCCATGTCTGGAAGATCATAAATGCCTGTAATTCCAGCCCCACAGAAATCTAGTATCTCTGGCCTCCTTGTGCATTCACACTCACATTCACACACCCGTGGGTAATAAATAAATTGTTATATGTTTTATAGAAGCTTTGGGGACTACAGGCCCCGTATAGCTTTGATTAAGACAAGCTGCAAAGCCCCAAGTTAACACTACTGCTATTTAATCCTATGTGAATAAATGCTTCACTTCAGACCAACTTTTTATGGATGCAAAAATTAAATGCAAACCATTTCCTTCCCTTTCTGCACAGGCTCCATTAGTCATATGCTTAAGATCACTTCAGATTAGCAAAGAAACACTTAGTAAAGCTGTTTGGAGTCTAGCCTGTCAGTAAATGGGTGCACCATTTTGTTAGACATTGTTTCCCTTACCAGATATGCTAATGCTGTCAAAACAAACTCAGGTGTATCCATTTTCTATCCCCAAGTAACTAATTAGCTCCAAATTAGCAGCTCAAAGCAATACCCAGTGCTCTGTGGTATGGCTGGGCTCATTCCATTCTCTCCCTCTCCCTCTCTCTCTCTCTCAACTTGAATACTCTTATGTTTTTATTCTCACTTTGGAGGTCACATTTTAATTACATTTCTCCCTTCCCTTCCTCCAAATCCTCCCATATACCCTTCCCAACCTTCCTGTAAATTCCTGGTCAATCTTTTTTTCACTAACTATTATTACATGCATATATGTATAGGTGTATGCATATATCTTAAACAGAAGAAGTTCAAACTGTATAATGTTATGTGTATGTTTCAGGGCTGATCATTTGACCCTGAACAACCCAGTGTTCATGGACTTTTATTACTGAGATTGAGGTTCTGGTTGGGGCTGATTTCATAGCCTATGGGTTTTGACCCATTTCCAAGTTCACTAGAGTATCAGCTCAATTTCCTGAGGCTGAACTGAGGTAAAAATAAAACCTAGTCTTTTCTTAAGATATCAATGGATTAGACCTCTAAAGACAATATCCCATTCTTTCAAGTCAATGTTCTAGGGACATCATTACATCTGTAAAATTCCTCACAGCGTCTAGATAGGCATTTGATTCATATTCCTTCTCCTGGAGAAGGCACATGTACAAGAAAGGGTGTGGGGTGGTTGGGAGTAATCTTGGGATTTTGTCCCACTACAACTAAAAATATTACACGTTAGTGAGAATGAATAGGTGCACCATGTAAGACTGGTAGGGGAAAATTGTTCCATGAGAAGGGAATTATAAAATAGGTATTGAATAAAAAGAACAGGAGGGAATGCTTTATTCCAGTGATGTTTTTAGACACACAGAGTGAACTCTTAGAAATTAAAATGAGGAAAGAGCTAAAGCTAATCCCTCATCATGCCATAATTGGCACTTTGCATTCTTCTGGGGACCAGGAAAGTACAAATGATCCCTATTCTGAACTGCACAACCTATAATCTCTATGAAACCCAGTTCGTCACATACATTACCTTCATTCAGTTTTGAGAAGGGTGTGTTCATGGACTGTTTTCTTTTTTAAGATGCTGTCAAAGAAATATGGTGCTTATTCAGTAATGTGACTTTGCTTCTAAATCTTGGAGGTTGAAAGACATACAGAGAGTGAGAGTATGCAGTTCTTGAGTATGAATTCAAAGATGACTTAAGGAAAAAGACATGCTGATCTTCGTGTCCCAATGGGGATCTTCCTTTCTCTAGGAAGACCTTCCCCTGCAGCCTGTCCAGTTGCTCCACCTTCAGCTTTATGTCCTTTATTGTTTTGTCTATATGTCCAAGAGATTTCATATTTGGAATTATCATTCTCCTTTCCCTAAGAAGGGAAATGTTACTGGTACACAAATGTGTCTTAGGGTTACTATTGCTGTGATGAAACACCTTGACCCAAAGCAAATTGGAGAGGAAAGGGTTTATCACTGTTCATCACTGAAGGAAGCCAGGACAGGAACTGAGACTGTGCATGAACCTGGAGGCAGGAGCTGACACGGTGGTAGTCAAGGAGTCAAGTTTACTGGCTTGCTCCCCATGGCTTGCTCAGCCTGCTTCTTGTATAACTCAAGACAACTAGTCCAGGGAAGGCACCACCTACAAGTGGCAGGACCTTCCCCCATTAATCACTAATTAAGACAATGCTTTTCAGGCTTGCTTATAGCCTAATCTGATTGAGACATTTTCTCAAATGAGGCTCCCTCCTCTCCGATGACTCTGTCTTGTGTCAAGTTGACATGAAAGTAGCCAGCACAAAATATGTGTATGTAAGATTGCCGTATAACTGCCCATTTAGACATTGGTTGTGTCTCTGCAAGTTCTCATGAAACCACTTTTTTTTTTTGAACTTCAGGTTATGCTATGTGATGTAAAAAGAGATTGTTGCCCAGTTTCCCATTCCACAAGCCTACTTAAGTAAGTAATCAAAGGTAACAAATATAATTTTAAGGAACCAACACCTGGGAAGAGATGGCTCCCTGGTTTGGAATGCTTACTGCTCATTCAGAGGAGCTGGGTTCAGTTCCCAGCATCTACATGGTGGCTCATACCAACCCATAACTCCAGTTCCAGGGATTCCATCTCCCTTGTGACTTCCACAGGCATCTCTCCCCTTTCTGTTGCCTGGGAACTTTCATTGATAGAAAATTCCTACAGAACCTAAATGTTTCCCTTTGAGCATTCTCTACAAGAAATCCTCAGCCACTTACTATGGGAAAAGGCAAGGAATATTTTGTGGTGACTTTGACATCTAATTATTTACTGATTACTTTTTAAATAGCTTTTAGAATTACCATTTAATATAAAAATATAGAAACATGAGCCATTATTTGGAAAGTGTACTTTATGGGGTTAATATATTATCATGTGTGACCTGTATTCACTCTTGTCATTAGAATTACTAGTATTTCTGAGAGTATTTTACTCTGATGGAGAAACTA